GAGACACAGGATTGATTCAATTGAGAAAGTAGAATTATTTTATATAGAATACTTCGGAGAGAAAGAGGAGACAGAAAAAGAAGTGTTGTTAATTGAATTTCAAGAGGACGGTCAAGCAGCGATTGAAAAAGAAGGTGCAATAGGCGGAAAGGTGGAAGCTTAGAGAAAGAGAACCAAGATCTACTAGAGCTGCAAAACCTACTTATATATCATGGAAGAGAAAAAATTGATTAAAATTAATATAAATGGAATTAATTTAGCTGTTAAAAGAAGGAAAACTTTCCATCAATTAGAGAAATTAAAATTTGATATAATCTGCCTACAAGAAGTACATATTAAAAAGCAATATGAACAACTGTTGATACAGCCAAAGCTAGGGAAAATATTTATTTCTTTGACACAATGCAAGAAAAGAGGAATGGTCTTATACATCAAAGATACTATTCCAGTGAAATTGATCCATACAGATGATGATGGAAGACTCTTAATGGTCGAAATAATGGACAATAATATGAAAACACTCCTGATAGCAATCTATGCCCCGAATGAAAATCAAGAAGAATTTTATAGAAAATTAGATATGAAAATAATTGAACTGGACTATGTCAATATTTGTATGATGGGAGACTTCAATGGACTAGTAGACAATAAATTGAACTATACAACACAGAAAAAAACAAAACAAAGCAGAAAGGCTCTCCCCTATATCCTTTTTTAAAATGATAGATGAAATAAATTTAAAAGATGCATGGAGAGAAAGAAACGCTAAGACCAAACAATATACCTTCTATTCAAACAGACATTCATCATGGTCCAGAACAGATATAATATGGATGTCAACAGAATTGATCGCTAATCTCCAAGAAATAGATATTGAAACAAGTACCTGGGCAGATCATAATCCAATGACAATTAAATGGAGAGGACAAAGAAGAAGATCTAGATGGACGTTAAATAATACTACATTAAAGGAAAAAGACTTCACACAGTGGATGGAGAAAGAACTGCCTTTTTTCTTTAAAGAAAACAAAAAAGAAGACACATCAATCCAGAATGTTTCGGATACAATGAAGGCATATGCCAGAGTCTTGATAACAGACTACACAAGGAAAAGAAATGTTATGAAAAGATTAGCTTTTAAGACATTAGAGGATGAGTATAAGGGCCTTGAAAAAGAGTTACAGAAAATGCCACAGAAAAAGGACATTAAGCTAAAAATGGATACAATTAAACATAAAATGGGATTAATGGAGAAAGAAGAATTAGCACTGAGAATCAGAGGTGCGAAGCAGAACTATTTTGAAGATGCAAATAAACCAGGTAGATGGTTAGCATATAAACTGAGAAAGGAGAACGCATCAAGGAAAATATTGCTATTAATAGATGATCAAGGCCAAGCTTGCTATGGAAGTAAAGAGAAGAAGAAAATCATACGAGATTATTATGGGAAACTATACTCACAAGAGAATATTGATGACGAAAGAGTTAAACAGTACTTACAGAATGCTAATCTACCCCAGATACCTACAGAGATTGAAACAATATTAGAAAGCAATATAAAGATGATGGAGTTAACTGAAGCACTTAAGAAGCAAAATAATGAAAAGGTACCAGGTCCAGATGGACTCCCAGCGGAATTTTGTAAGACATTACAAGAATCATTGAATCTCCCATTGTTAGAAGTCATTAATGAAGTTATGTCCAAGAAGAGGATACCCAAATCATGGTCAGAATCTTATATCACACTTGTCCCAAAAGAGGACAGTGAACCACTACAAATCAAGAACTATAGACCTATTTCTCTACTAATTATAAAATTATAATTATAGAATTATAAAAATTTTGCTTCAATATTGGCAGAAAGACTCAAAAAATACTTAAATAACTTTATTCATTCCGATCAAAATGGATTCCTGCCAAAGAGACAAATCAAAGATAATATGAGAATAATTTTGGATACTTTGGAATATTATGAGGCACATCCTGAAAAACAAATGGCTTTGATATTCTTAGATGCACAGGCGGCCTTTGACAATATGAATTGGCGATTTATGTTACTACAGATGGAGCAGATGGCCTGTGGTAAAAAAATCCATCCATGCAATCGAAGCTATATATCATAAGCAAATGGCAAAGGTAATGATAGAGGGAGAATTGACAGATTCTACTGACATAAGAAAAGGAACAAGACAAGGTTGCTCACTGTCACCTCTGTTGTTTGTGTTAACTTTGGAAGTGCTAAATAGAAACATTAGAGAAGAAAAGGATATAAAAGGGATAAAAATCAAAAAGGAAGAATTTAAATTGCAAGCATTTGTGGATGATCTGGTTTTCACTTTTGAAGATACATTAGAAACAGCATCAAAACTGATAGAAAAGATAGAGGTCTATGGAAAGGTAGCTGGTTTGAAAATAAATAAAGATAAAACAAAGATTTTGACAAATAATATGTTATTAAGACAAAAGGAAGAATTGGCGGATGTTTTGAAAATTCGGGTCACAAATAAAATCAAGTATTTGGTGATACATTTGTCAGCAAGATGTAGCACACTCAAAGAGAATAATTATACTAAACTCAAGCAACAGATAGCGATAGCTTTGGCGAAATGGGAAAACTTACAGTTATCATTAAGAGGGAGAATATCAACAATCAAGATGAATATATTACCCAGAATTTTATATTTGTTTCAAACAATTCCAAATAGGCTTGGAAGAGATTACTTTGAAGATTTAAATAAAATTGTGTTGAAATATATATGGCAGGGTAAGAAAGCGAGAATAAAACTAAAACTCTTGCAAGAAGCTAGAATAAGAGGACGATTTGGTTTGCCTAATGGGAGTTGTATTACCAAGCTACAAATCTGATGTGGATTAAGGAATGGATAACATTAAGAAATACTAGATTGCTGACATTAGAAGGACATGATCTGTTGTTAGGGTGGCATGCCTTCCTATGGTATAAAGGAACTAAAATACAGCGGAATTTTAGAAGACATTATATACGGGAGGCTCTGTGGTTAAATTTGGAAGAAGATTAAAAGGAGATTAAAATTTTATTTGAAAATTTCAGTCTGGTTATCGACTGTTGAAGCATTTTCTTATCCTATAATATATGAAAAGGAACAGCTAGATATGGTGAAATGTTGAATGAAAAGGATGAACTTAAATCTATGCAAAAATTAGAGGAACAAGGTATAAAGATGAATTGGTTTTCATATGCGCAAATGTTTTAGATATGATAAAGATTTTAAAACAGAAGGTTTCTATGATAAGTTGACTGATTTAGACAAGATCTTGGCAGGTACTGATAAAAAGGTGATTAAAAATTGTATGGATATTTATTAGAAATTAAAGTAGAAGAAGAACAAGTTAAAGAAACTATGATTGCTTGGGGGAAGAATTTTGGATATGAGATTGATCTAGAGAAATGGCAAAAATTGTGGTCTCTAAATTATAAAACGACAATGTCAATAGCATACAAAGAAAATTTGTACAAGGTGTTTGTACAAGGTGGCATCTGCCCCCAACAAGAATAGCAAGAATGTTCAAGAACAAATCTGAAAAATGTTGGAAATGTCATCAGATACCTTGCTCATATTACCATATCTGATGGACGTGCGCGGATGCTAAAAGATATTGGACTAAAATCCACACATGGTTGGAAAAAATGACAAAAAAACATATAGACTTGAAACCAGAGATATTTTTATTGGGAATCTTACTCGAAACATACAGTAAGGAATTGAAATATTTGATTGTAAATGTATTAACAGTGGCTAGGATTGTATTTGCTAAAAACTGGAAAAATGAGAAAATACCAACGCAGGAGGAAGTTATTAAGAAAATAATGGAATGTGCTGAAATGAGTAGATTGACATTTGAAATCTGAGAACAAGAAGATAAATAATTTTATAAGATTTGGGATTTATTTTATCAATGGTTGGACATGGTAATGAAATATGTAGATTTTAGAATATAAAGAATATATAAAGATCTATTGTTTTTAGCATAATCATAATATAATTATTGGATAGATTTGGGATAATAATATGAATTGTCATAAAATAAATCAATTAAAATATGGATTATCTTGCAAAACATGAATGAATAATAGTATAGTCAAATGATTAATAATGATATCAATGTACTTAGGAATATTTGACAAATAATATGAGAATATATACAAGTAATTGTAAGTGATGACTATGAAATGGAGGCACAAAACAATTTGTAAACCAACCGACACGCTGTATGTACATAAGTGGAAGACGGCTTGATGTTTTTATGTTGCGTTTGTGTATGTTTGTCTAAAAAAACAATAAAACTTTTTCAAAAAAAAAAAAAGATGAAGTTGAGAAAAAGTTTCAGAATTAATCTACCACCCAATAGAAAGTTTTAAAGTTTTTCAGTAAAAAGTGAAATACAAGCCTGAAATTCAATTTATCTGACTATACATTTGATTCTAAGATGATGACCCTTCCTTTGTAATAATATGGAGGGAGTTGTTAGAAATCTTCCTTCCAGAAAAATATGAATGATTCAGCTATCATTTTCACTTGCTTATATATTTTGTTCCTCCCCTCTAAATGCATAGCAGTGAAAAATAATTAAATTTTTCCAATCCAGAGATGATGTAGAAGAAAAACATTTGTGGATTTCTGCCTTTCTGTTTAAAAAGCCTCAACTTAACATATGGAAGAAAACTAAGAGTGCGGAATGCCTTGAATCAGAAAGATCCGGACTTCATGAAAACTTTGGAAAGAGAAGGACGCAGAAAAGTGGCGCAACCAGTGGTGTATTAACTATTAAGCAGACTAAGCACATGCTTAGGGCACCAGGCCCAAAGAGGGCACCACAGTTGGGAATATGGCTTCGTCTGTACAGTTATGTACAAAGGAGGGGGGCACCAAGATTTGCAAGATTTGTCAGTGCTTAGGGCACCAGCGAGCCTTAATCCACTGGGCGCAACGGGGCAATGGGCTGCGCGAGCGAGCGGCTACCTTGAAGTAGGCGAACTGCAAGAACTTGTAAGGATCGCGGCGCTGGAATTCTTCCAGGACTTCCCTGCTGGGCTGAGACTGGCGGAAGGCCGGCAGCCCTTGCTTGCAGCGTTTCAAACACTGCGTTCTGAGTAACATGTCCCCGAAATAGCGCAGCTCCGGGAAACCGTCGAAACGGTCGGCCTCCTTCTCTTCCTCCATGCGGACAGAGCTACAGTTGAGGTGACAGAAGGCCTCGCTGTCCCGCAGAAGGCGATAGAGACGCAGGCTCATTTCCAGGTAGTTCACGGTCTCGGGCCAGTTCTCGTTGCTGTATTGGTCCAGGCCGTAGCGGTAGGCAGACTCCAAGGGCATCAGCTCGTCGCGCGGGAAACTCCTGAAGCTGTAGCGCTCATACTGAGCCCCCGCCCGCGCCCACAGGAGAGAGAGAGTGGCCACGAGTAGCGGGCGCTTCCACATCTTTCCCAGCTTAGAGGACACCACGTAGCAAAGGAGGAAAAAGTTCAGCCTTCCCGTCCGACTCCGAGAACCAGGCGGAGATCCTGAAGGATTGACGTACAGTTGGACCCCTCCTCCTGACGCGCGTTGGGGACGTCGCACATTTTGGGGAGAAACAGATGGGGAAAATTGGGTTAGCAGTTAGATCCAGGGATCTCACTTAAGAGGATTGGCATAGTTGGGTACTTTAGGAAGCAAAGTGCAAGAAGATTGACCTTGTTCTAACGTTTATATCTCAAGGATAGATATTTCTCATCTTCTGCTTTTCCTGAAAGAATAGATCAGCATTTCAAAGGGTATGTCTCTAAAAAACCGAAAATGAATATAAACATGTTGCCCTTTTGTACAGATAATCCTTGACCTAGGACAACAATTGAGCCCAAAATTTCTGTTGCTAAGTGAGACATTTGTTAAATGACTTTTGTCCTTTCACAACCTTTCTTGCCATGTTAAGTGAGTTATTGCATTTGTTGAGTTAGTAACATGGTTGTTACATGAATCTGGCTTCCCCATTAACTTTGTTAGAAAGTCACAAAAAGGTGATCACATAACCTCAGGACACCGTAACTGTCTTAAATATGAATCAGTTGCCAAACATATGAATTCTGATCATGTGACCATGGAGATGCTGCAATAGTATAAATGTGAAAAATGGTCATAAGTCACTTTTTTCAGTGCCATAACTTTGTTATTAAATGAACTGTTGTAAGTCAAGGATTACCTGTATTTATTTTCTGTTTATATCAATCACTTAAACCAGTATTTCTCAGCATCAGCAAATTTAAGATTTCAACTCTTTAAGTTTGAAATACACTGAATTAAATTATTACCAAGTACTTCTGACGCTCTAAAGTAGAGGCTGATTCCTAAAGGCATCTCCTCTAATGCTCTCCAGATCTATTGGACCACCATTGCCAGAATTCCCACTAGCCATGCTAAATAGGAAATCCTATTCATTCATCTAGTGGACTCATGCAATATTTGGAAAAAATCAGATGTATGTTAAGTAGAAAATCTTGCCTAGGATCTCCTAGTGTCCCAAAGGTGCCTTTTCCAAAAGGCAAGCGGAATTTTTGGTGTTTTTTTATTTGAAAATGTTATATTTCTCCTTAAGAAGCTTCTTCAGTTCTAATTGATGGGGAATGGAAGGTGTGGAAACTTCTTGATTTGGCTGAAAGGAGTCAGCAGTTTCAAGAATGTTTAACATCCATTTGCATTGTGATTCAGGTGATTCTTGAGGATACAGATAAACTTCCAAGTGGCCTCACTGAATCTGTGAAAGCTAATGACTGACCTTCAGAGTGCTCATGAGCAGATGATTACAAAGAATATAAAACATTCCAATCCCCACCAATTAGAACTGCAGGAGTTTCTTGAATGAGAAGTGAAAACATTTTCAAGAAAAAAAAAACAAGAAAGTCCAGTAGCCATGGTAGTCCACTCTCGGGACTACCATGATCTTAATCATCAGGCTGATTAAGAATCTCCATAAACATCTGTTTCCATTGTCCTATTTTTGTTAAGAAAGTGTAGTTGATAACCTTATATGCAGGGATGGGATTCTACTAGTTCTCACCTATTTGCTAGAACTGGTTGTTAACATTCTAAGCAGTTCGGAGAACCAGTTGTTAGAAGAAATTACTGGCCTAATCCTGTAAGGAAGGCAGGAAGAAAACATTCTGGTGTTGCTTACAGAAACTGCCTCTCTGTTAACCCTTATTATATTCTTGGCAGGACTAGACTTCCTGTCTCAGGAACTTTTTCCCCCTTCTTTGCTGGTACTTTGCTTGTGACCATTTAAAGTTACAATGGCACTGAAAAAAGTGACTTATGACCATTTTTCACACTTACGACTGTTGCAGCATCCCCACAGTCATGAGAGGCCATGCGAGGAGATGTGTGCCTCGATCTGAGTGATGTTGAGTTGGCCACACCCAACCAGTCATATGACCACCAAGCCATGCCCACCAACTGAGCCACGCACACAGAACCGGTTGTTAAAAAAATTGAATCCCACCCCTGCTTATATGTACAAAGTGATTCTTGATAAACTTTTTCACTGTAGGAATGTGTTAATGGATTGTCAGTTTCTATTAGCACTTTATGTGGTAGTTTAACTAAGCTATCTTATTGTTCTCTGAGCAATAATTTTTACAATAAGTTATAATTAGTAAAATTATTGATAGAATTGTTAGAGAAAGTGACAATTGTATGAACCTCAACACTTTAAAACTCAAATTACAAAGTGTACTACTGGAATATCAGTTTTCTATAAACAGATATTAAAGATTTTATTATAATTATTCATTGATATTGAAGCAGTACAGGTTGTCTACAATTTACAACAATTCATTTAATGATCCATTCAAAGTTATAACCTCCCTGAAAAAAGGACTTGCTTTTTACACACTTACATTTTACCCAATTACAAATGTTACAGCATTCCTATGGTCATGTGATCAAAATTCAGATGCTTGGCAACTGACTCAAAATTTATGATGGTTGTAGTGTCCTGGGGCCAAGTGATCACATTTTGCAAACTTCTGACAAGCAAATTCAATAGGGAAACCAGATTCACTTAAGAACTGTGGCAAGAAATGTCATAAAATGAGGCAAATTCACTTAACTGTCACACTTAGCAAAAGAAAGTTTGGGCTCCATTGTGGTTGTAACTTGAGAATTACGTGTATTAGTGCGATGACTCCCTCAGACACTTCCCCAGATACCTCTCCAGATGTCAGCTTGGAGGAAGATGATCCGGGCTGATGATAAATTGATCGGTGAAGGAAATAAGCTACAAGTCATATTGTAATGTCTCCCATGGATGCTTCCCCAGTTACCTCTCTAGATGTCAATTTGGAGGAACATGAACCAGTCCCAGGCACATGGGGGGAGTAGTTGGTCAATGGATCCAAGCAGCTGTCTGAGTGATTTGGCTGAAGTATAGCTATAGCAGGACAGCTGAGGCTTCAGATGGGGAAAGCATGCAGCTGCAGCCAGTCAGTGATGAAGAACTGTCTTCTGCACCTGATCCAACACATAGGGCAAAGAAAAGGCAGGAACAATGAAAGTTAACTAGATTACTCATGAGGGGGCGTCTTCCCTCTCTTGATGGGCTGCATAGGAAGCTGGATATTTAGCACAGCAGACAGTGGGAGATGATGTTGTGTGTTCCATATCCATAGACTTGAAGCCTCGCATTCCCATTGGTCCGTTAGACCACTATCTGATTGGACAGCTTGGACAGTTCTGATTGGCTCGCTAAGAGTCTGCCGCGATTGGCTAAAACCAAGCTTGGCAGACTTGAAGCAGCGTCATTGGCTGCCTAGCCACGGCGAGCTCTATAAAAGAGCCGCCGTGGCTGCTATTGTTCCTTAAGCTTGTTCTAGCCAGTAAATAAAGAGCTGTTGTTACTGAGCCAAAGTCTCTCGTCTTAAATGAACCCAACCTTCTGAACTTAACACTGGTGACGAGGATGGGATAAAGACGACAACGAGACAATCCAGCACATGGCAAACGGCGCGAAACAACCATCAAGATGGCCAGCAATGCCACGCCATCCGCACCCTTTAATCCGGCTGCTGAGGACTGGGAGTCCTACATCGACTGGTTTCAGATGTTTTTAGAATGCAGCAACCTGAAAGATGCCAACGGCAACCGGAAATGAGCTGTATTCCTATCACACTGCGGGCCCGCCGTGTTTAAAATGGCCAAGGCTTTGGAGAAACCCGCAGACGTCAAAACAATCCCATCCTCTGAAACCACTACGCTCCAGCTGTGCCCACCCTCATTCGCCGGCATGACTTTTACCAAAGAGACCAGCGCGAGGGTGAGAGCATTAGCGAATTCGTAGCCAATCTGAGGGACCTTGGAGGGTTGTGCGGATTCACTGACCTAGAAGAGGCTATGCGAGACCGGGTCGTCCTCGGCCTAAAAGACCCCACGTTACAAAGCAAGTTGATGGCAAAGGGCAGTATCTCCCTCGCCGACACCATAGCTGAAGCAATGGCAGCAGAAGCCACCCGCAAATCAGTGGCTCGGATGCGGTGATCAAACAGCCGACTGCCGCCCTGTCAGCGAAATAGCTTCAACATCGGAGAAGCATACCACCACCACCCACCACGGCAACACTGAATCCCCCTCTGACAGCGACTACGAGGAGGAAGAAATCCACCAGCTCCAGTCGGAACTCGATCGAAGAGACCGGCGGGATCGTAAGTTGGGGTTTCAATGCGCTGGATGCGGAGGCAATCACCCCCATTCCGAATGCCGTTTCCTTGATGCCATTTGTCGGCATTGTGAGAAGCGGGGGCACATTGCAAAAGTATGCCGAAATAAACGCAACCTCAGCCCCTGGCGTCGAGGAGGTAGCCCGAGACGATGAGACGGCACCCCCCAAAGCATCGGGACCGCCAGACTAACAGCCGATGGAACCGAGACGGCCGGACCAAGCGATTCAACGAGGCACCGCGGAAAGAAGAGACCCATCAAACGGTCGTCATTGGCCATTCTTCTACCATAGATGCCTCAAAAGTACTCATAACAGTAAAAATCGAAAACCAAACGTGCTCCATGGAAGTGGATTCCGGATCCTACCTCTCCATGGTCTCCTGGCACACCATCAAGTGTCTAATACCCAGCATACGCCAACACGAGCTAAGCGACCAAAAGCTGATCCTCAGAGACTACCAAGGGAATCGCATCCCCGTAACCGGCATCGGACACTTCAAAATCTTATTCAAAGACCGCACCAACATCCTGCCACTCACCATCATGGACAAAGACCGTCCCAGCTTGCTCGGGCTACAATGGTTCGAGCCATTAGGTATAGAAGTGGCTGGTATCCACCACACCAACGAAGAAGATTGGGAAGCGGCACTTGCACGGGACTTCCAAAAGGTCTTCGACAACACCTTAGGCAAGTACAAGGGGTCCCCAATCTCCTTCAATCTTAACCCCTATCTGCCTCAAACTGCGGCGAGTGCCATTTGCACTCAAGCCCAAAGTAGACGAGCAACTAAATAAGCTCATC